AAGACAGACAGACATTCATTTATATATATATATAGATGACAGTTCAACACATTTATTTCATTCAAAGAAAACATTGATAAAACATCAATTTTTTAGGCTAAATAACAATTAAAGACAATACATTATAGGTTTTACAGAGGTACAACAGTACGCTGAGAAATCCTAGGGTTGCCAACTACAGACAAAATAAACAGATAAGTATTTGATAGACATTTAAATGTTTAATGGAGTATTTTCATATATTTTTTTAATTTCACATCATAAAAAACAAGTTTAAATCAATAATTTTCCATCTTCAAGATATGTTCATACAAAATTCTTTTTATCCACCACAGTCTAAGAATTCTCTTTAAACATTACCACTAACAAAAGAAACTTTCTTACATACATTAACTATACATATAGTTATAGATAAAGTATTTATTTATATGGAGCTATTATAAAAAATCTCAGTAAGTATTAAACAACTTTGTAAGAATATAATTAAGAAGTCTCGTTATCATGAACATTTATGTCCTTATCATTAACAGTCAAGTAAATTTTCCATGTGTATACCTCAACAGTTTTGTTTATGTAATTCATATACTTTATCAGAAAAGGTCCATTGTTTTTTTTTTTTTACTGCCATAGTAATCCTATGGGAGGATTGTATATTTCTAAATTTTATAGATTAAATGCTACAAGGTGTTTTATCTTTATAATAATATTTTAGTTTATTTTTATTTAAACAATAGTTAATGGAAACAAATAAAGGAGAAATAAACATAAACAACACTAGAGAAGAAAAGTAAACAGTGTAAAAAAAAGATCACAGTAAAGTAAAAAAAGTATTGTTTTTTTTATAGCCAGTTTATTGCAAAAATTCATTAAGTACATTTCTGACAGAAAAATATTTTCAAAAACTTTTTGTGAATTTCATTATTTATTATGAGTGACAGATAATCAGTCAGTTTTAAAGAGTTTTATTGTCAATGTTTCAATCCCAGCTTGTGGCCCACAAAGCTTGGGTTGAAATTTTAGCAATAAAATCATAAAAACTGGCTATTAATCATCCGTGATATCTAGAAAAATCAGTTAACTTCCTTCAATAACATTATTTATTGATAAAAAACACAGAAAATGCACTAACATAACACCAACGCTTTTAAATATAAAATATAGTCACAATTTTACATTACTGATTTTACAAAGGGAAAATTAATCAAAGTTCTCAGTGATTTAAGGTTATCAAATGTTACAGTAAATTTTTACAATAAACCGACGATATACACCATAACATATTTTTATATATCCTATAACAGTATATTTTTCAATTCATTTCCGATATAAATGAAGTTGGGTAGACATTACATATATAAATATTTTGAATAGGTATTTATATGTATGTATTTCCATCCATTTATAAGTTCAAATCGCCAAAACTGCACTATATATTGATTATTAATATTTTTCTATAGATTTCCAACTCTAGTTTAAGATGGAGTGATAAAAATCTTTGAGTATTAATAACCCTAAATTGTGTCAACTTGGTGGTAGTTTACTTATGTTTTATATATATTAAAAAAATATATAAGAAAAATTCGGATAAAACCAAACACAATCACACCATCAACAAACTCCAAATGTACATATTTATGATTGGTATTAAACCACTTGCTGGTTTCATATACAGACTTGAGGTAATATCAAAAAAAAAAAAAAAATTAGTAATTTTTTTAGCTGCAAAACTACAAAAGACAATTTTACAGGATTTTACAAATATAACATTTATAAATATAATATTTTTATATTTATAATATTTCATTATTGCCTCATTAAAATTGTATTTCATATACAGAATTTTTTTTTTAAATTGGATACATGCATGAATTTTCAAATTTTATTCAACAGTCAAGATCAGGGTTTTAAATCGATAATTAAAAAAAAATCAAATCTGATCAAAATTTTCAAAAAGAGAGATTTTTATTTTTGATCGTAAGTTATTAAAATTGTATCCTGATCATTATTTTTGAACAAAATAATAATTCTTGAGTATTACTTTTTCATTCAGAAATAGAATTTTTTTTTATAATTTCTATGATATATTTTGAGTCTGGACACTAGCGGTATATCCAGGATTTCATTTTTGGGAGCTTCAGCCAGAAAGCTTTTTTTCCACCATATATATAACAATGATTACTTTGGAAAAAAATAAACTACCTACATAAAATGGTGTTTAAGTGATGCCTAAAGTTCTTTTGAATGTAATTACACAAACAATAATACTTTAAGAGATAATTTTTTAGTATTTTTTTCCATAAAACATGGTTATATTTTACCACTTTGGGGAGGTTTCAACCCCAAAGACCCCTCCCTCCCATAGATCTACCCCTCAGTCTGGAGTAGTAGGTGGAGATATTGATGTCTACTATTAGTAATAGAAATTCAATATCCGAAATTTTGGCTAACAAAAAAAATGTGCAGGTACCAAGTGCACAATTAAAGTGATTTAAGAAAAATATAATAATAAACGTGTAAAAAGTGATTTTTATTTTCTGATCATAATTTAATCATTATTATTTATTCATGTAAAACTGTATCACTTAGTGAGTTATCATTATTTTTAATGGAATAAATAAACATCAAAGATTGATTTAAATATTTATTTATAAATCAGGCACAATTTTTAAATTAAAAATCAAATATAATAATTATTTTATGAAAAAAATAATTATCGATTTCAAACCCTGTTCAAGATTAAATTATAAAAATAAAAATGCAAGAAGTCCCAAATTTTTCTGAAACATATTTGAAAATTTGTGCGTATTGAGGTAGGTCATGAGAGTGGAGACACGTCTATATCAGGGACTGCCAGTGCCTAATAATGTTTTCAGCTTCAAATTTTCAAATCTAAGAAACATCTTGTATTTTTTCTTATCCTGTCGTCTATGAATCAATATCAAGGAGGTTAAGGTGGGTGGAGCATATAACTCGGAACAATCCATCTCGAAGCCTCTACACAACAATGAATGCCTCAATAGAAAGAAGAAGACCACGTGGAAGGCCAAAAAGTAGATGAATCAACAAAGATGCAATAGAGCATGCTGATACCTGGAAGATATCAGCCCAAGATAGGCATAGATGGAGAAGGCTGATTAAGGTGGTGTAAGATCTATAATGTCTGGAATACCAACAGAAAAAAAAATGCATGTTGATGAAGTAGAGCTGGGAGAGGTTTAACAGTATTCTTTTTGGTAGTTGTACATGTAATGCCAAGGTGGACTCAAGCCACACCCTCAGTCCCCACCACAGCTCCCAGACGCACTATTATTTCAAGTTTTTAGCTGCACATTAACCATTATTTTTTATTTGATAAGTGGAATCTCAACTTTATATAGATTCTAAATCGCTTTAATTCTATTGAAACTCAAATTTATAACACTGTTTTTCCATACTAGTACCCAATGAAAATTCAAGGTTTATTTCCAATAAAAAAAGTTCGATACTTAATTGATTTAAAAACCAGTGATATTTCTTGAAATTAATAAATACATGATGGTAGTTGGAGTACAGAGCTATGTACATAATTCCTGAAAATTTTAATTAAGGTTTCAAGACCCATGTTTTCTGAATTCAATTGGATAACTTGCTAAACTGATTAAGACTCATTAAAAGATAATAAACATAGTATACAAAATAACATAAACATAATATTATTTTCAATATAAGATACCTTTATAGTAATATTTTCGTGATATCATGTATCCTAAACACTGACTATAAACAATTAATTTTATTTATCTCATAATCCTAAACATAATAGGTATATTCTCAAATATTTTTTAAATATGTAAATAGACCAGTAATGACTAGAATATATAATAATACAGTGTGCCTGTACATAATAACTGTACACTGATATTTAGGCAATAAAAACAAAATTTATGGCACAAAACACATTTTAATTTTGCCATACTGATCAATTTTAATAAAAATACATCATATGTATATTATTTGGTAACATTAGGAAGAAAACTTTTCAAACGATCACTCTTTAGATTAAGAACAGATTTTTATGTCAAATAAATAAAACTTAAAGGTTTTAATTTAATTAATTAAAGAAAAAGAACTAAAATTCAAAAACTTTTAAAATGAGTTTGAATATGGTAACTTCTGAAGGAAATGATCACAAGCAGACCTCAAAGCAAGAAAACTCAGTGTTTGAATTTTTTTAAAATCATAATTTCATTAATGAACCTTTGTAATTAACCAAGAAAAAAAACCCTGCAATTTTGCTTGAAAATTTGAATCTTTATGTTTCAACATACTTAGAAACCAAAAATCAATTAAATAAAAAATCCATCCCTGGGTCTTTCTCTGATACTACTGGAACGATTGTTTAGATTTTGTACCTAAATCTGAGATCACTTGAGGATGATCCTGAGAACTTGGCACTAACATCATTTTGTTTCAAAATGTTAGTCAATCAAATTATTTTTAAAGAACTACTCATGATTCAAATCTTTTAAAATCAGACAAATAGATGATGAGTTTTATGAAATAGTAGTTAGATACTATAATAAATTACACAACTTTTCAACATTCATTATCAGATAAATGTCAGATGAAGGTTTTCCATTGATCAGTACGGCAATTATAAAGAGAAAAAACAAAAATGACTAAATGTTATGCAGTTAATTCAAAGCTTGTGCAATAAATACAATTTATTAAATCTCTCCTTCTTATCCTAAACGCATTAGAAACTAATTTTTGGTTTATACAAAATATTACAGTAATATAAATAGTTATATAATAACAAAACAAAATTAAAAAAATTCAAAATAAAACAAATATTTGGTGTCATTATAAGTAATGTATCACATCGACTCTAAAAATAAATAAGAAAATAATAATTCAATTGTTGTTATTTTGTAATATAAGTATAACAAAGTTTTTTTTTCCTTTCTACCCAAATAAATTTCTTTAGCAACTTAATTGAAGAAATAATATATGTGTAGTACACATATAAATATATCTAAAATATACGATGAAAATGAAATATTTTTTTTGGAATTTTAGCTGCAGAAAAAATATTAAATAAAGTTTTTCATAAACTATTCACCAATTTGTTTCAATAACAGATCTTAATAAAGAATAAATAAATAAATAAACGATACTCTCGTCACAACCAGTTACAATTCAACTGACTAGAATTCGGGCATTCACAGAACCCGCTGAACAGAATTTTCTTTTACATCTTCCGATGTTTCATTTGCATTCTGTTTATCTTCAACTTCCTGCGAAGTTTCTTCAATTTCTTTGGAATTTGAGGTAACTTTATTTTTTTCATAATCTTGCTGAGTGTTTTCTGAACTGTGTTCATGATCAGAATCTGAGTCGGAATTCGGAGGCGGAGACATTTCTTCATCTTCTTTTTCTTTGCGGGTCTTATTTACTACCTAGTAAAAAAAGTATATGATAAGACAGGACTTGATATGCAAATGTCAACTAAAAATGTTAAACTACAAAATTCTCGTCAACTTCATAACACCAAGTCCTTTAAGAAACGAGTAAAATTAAAATATTAGGTGTGTAAATATAAAACCAGAATTTGTCCACAGATGGCTCAAATTGTTAATATAGATACCATTAAACCGTATTACTGGTGTCATTTTTTTTCTTCGACAGCTGGGAAAGATTCTCAACTCACAACAACATAAGTTTCATATCACAACATTTTTGTAATAGCGTTGAACATATCGTGTTTTGTGCCTACAAACTACAATTTATGGAAAGCATCAGTTTTCTGTTACCATTTAAAGAAAACTGCTGCAGAATCGTATCGAATGCTTGTTGAAGCTTATTTTGAACATGTCCTTGAAACTTTAAGGTGAGAAATGAAGACCGTGTTAGACCACTGAAAAAGGGTATAATCTATTAGAGAGACCGGAAACTAATGTCGTTTCAGAGCATGTCATCAATTGATTGTCATTTGGCAGCTCATTGTGTACATATATGTCATGGCCAAGACATATTAAGGTTATAGTGACTTCTTTAGTAGCAAATAATTAAATTGAAAATTTGTTTTTACAATTTTCGTTGAAATGGCCAGCCTAATAGCAAAAAAGGTACATATCCAGCTTTGTATGTTTTTTGAATTTCGCAAGGGCAGTAACGCAACAGTTTTTATCAAAATCATTTGCAGTGTATATCCAAATGCATTAGACATTGGTAAATGCCAAAGATGGTTTTCAAGTTCAAATCCGGTAATTTTCATCTTTCCGACTCGTATCGATCAGGAAGACTAACAACGTTAGGCAATGACGTGTTAAAGGTGTAGGTCGAAGCAAATCCATATCAGACAATCGAGGAAATGTCAAACAGTCTTAGCTAACCTATATCGACCATCGAACATCTGCAGCAGATTGGGAAACCACCATATGCAACTTATTGCTTTAACGGCATAATACGGAAGCCTTTTTTGATGACTTGATCACCGGAGATAAAAATAGGTCCCGTATGATAATCCAAAAAGCAAAAGGCAGTGGCTCTCTCCAAAAGAACCACAAAGTACTGCTAAGCCAGATTAACATCCCAAAAAGGCCCTTTTGTGCGTTTGGTGGAGTATTCTCATCGTGGCTCATTTTGAAGTGCTAAAACCTGAACAAACTGTAAATGCAGACCTTCATTGTGAACAATTGGATCGTTAAAATCAATCTTGAATTGAAAAGAGGCCAGCGACTGCCAGCAGAAAAGGTGTTACAATGCAACACGAAAATGCTTCATAAATAGCTTCATCTCATCGTAACCTACAAACATTTTATTTACAAAAATTTTCGGAAATAAGTAATTTTCCATCTGGAGATCGGCAGATGTTGTCTATTTCATTAGGTACTAAAAACTCATGAAGACCCATTTCCTTTCCACTTGAATCGTAAGATGATTTTGAACACAAAATTGAGAATAAAGATGAGCTCTACAAAAATATTGGGCTGTTTGGCGTGAACTCCTTCCCCTACATGTCAAATTGACAAGGCCTAATGGTCCAATATTTTTGTATGTCACGTATTTTTTCGATTTTTTGATTAAATGATTTTATAATTCAAGAGGAAAGGAATAGGTATTTGTGAATTTTTAATACCTGATTACATTAATTAATTTAATGAGAAATTAATCCATTTCTGAGAATTTTCGTAGATAAAAAATTTGCAAGTTAGGATACGATGAAGCCATTCACGAAGTTTCGAACAGATGTTAATGATTTGATAAAAGGGGATCTCTGCACCAAGTTCTATAAGAAAAACATTTTTAAAATATTTAGCTAATACAACTAGGAAGTTGCAGTGATCGTGCCCATTTATAAGAAAGGAGATAATAGAGAGTGTGAGAATCATCGAGGAATATCGCTTCTCAGTGTACCCAGTAAAGTTTATTCCAGAATACTGGAGACAAGGGTAAGAAGGTTGGTCGATAGTCAGCTGCGAAGTACACAGCATCTTATCTTCACAATGTGCCAAATTACAGAAAAGACTGTCGAGAAGAATAAGGAGCTTTCTGTCTGTTTCGTGGACCTCCAAAAGGCTTTCGACAGAGTGAGGAAGGAAGATACAGAGCGGGCATTGTCTGAAAGAGGGACCAATCATGGAACAATTATGGCTGTGATGAGTCTCTTGAACCACATTTCAGAAGAATTTGAGACGACATTAGGTATTCGCCAAGGTTGTAGCTTATACCCGCTACTGTTCGTAAAGGCTAAAGTAAGGATGAGGCAGTTCCAGTTAAAACTGCAACCGATAAGATTCTCTGTGCTGGCATTTGCTAACAACCTAGCCTTGCTAGCTGCCAACGATCGAGACCTCCAATACAACATCAACATCCTCCAGGAAGAAATAGCCACGATAAACATGAAGATTAACCCGGGGAAAACTAAATGCATGAGAATAGGGAAGAAGCCCCGGAGAATAATGAGGGTGATGAGAGCAAGTGGTGAGAGATTGGAGCAGGCAGATAATTTCCAATATCTGGGTGCTCATCCCAACGAAAGTGGTCATGTTGATGAAGAGGTGAGTAAAAGAATCGGGGCAGCTGGCAGAGTGTTCTATCTGCTCCGGAGGGAATTTATGGGCAGAAGAGAGATAATAAAGTGAACTAAAGTAGCAGTCTACAAATCAACATTTCTCCCTATCCTTTCGTACTCCTCTGAATTGTGGACCCTCACCTCAAAACAGAAAAGTCGAATTCAAGCCATGGAGATGTGATGCCTTCGGAAGGTCGAGAGAAAAGCCAGAAGAGATAAGGTCCGGAACGACACTGTATGGACTTACCTCGAGGTCAAACCGGTTGAAACCATCCTAGAGGAGCACAAGCTAAGATGGTCCGGACATTTTCTTTGACTGGATCAAGAGAGAACAGCCAGGAAGACATACGAGACCCGTGTGGACGGAAGGAGACCTAGAGGAAGACCACGCATATTCTGGGAAGACAGTGTACAAGAGGCGTTCAGGAAGCGAGGTATGGATTGGAGTAAGAGAAGAGAGTTGGCTCAAGAAAGGGAAACCTGGTCCAAGCTCTACAAGACATAGCCCACACTGCACTGCGTTATTGGGATCAGGAATATGATGATGATGATAGCCAATACAATAGTACTTTTCAAGGGCACTCAATGTTCTTATATATGGTGCCTTCAAGGAATATATAAGCCTTTATACTTTAAAGATATATTATAATTTTATTACACATTCATTTGAGATACACCAAATATAAAAAATAACAATATTCCTCGTCTCATTTTTTGTGCATTTACTAATGCTTGTCATTCTTGAAAACTGGATACTACCTCCTCCCTCTATTGTTACACTGCTAATGAATGTTTAATAAAATTATAATATCAAAATATATTTTTGTAGATAAAAATTTTTGATGACTTGAGAATGAGCTAATCAGCTCGAAAAGTCATTTGAAGTGGAATAAACCTTTGAAGTATAAGGATTAATATATTCCTTGAAGACACCATGTTTAAGAACATTGAGTGCACTTGAAAAGTACTACTAAAGAAGTAGCTAAATATTTCAAAAATATTTTTCTTATAGAACGTGGTACACAGACCAATTTTTTTTCAAATTATTAACATCTGCTTAAAACTTCATGAATGGCTTCATCTTTTCCTAACCTGAAAATTTTATAAAATAGGGGCTTGTATATTCCTCGAAGACACCATATTTAAAAAATATTTTGATGAAATAAATGTATATTTTTTATACAAAATTCCAGTTTCATATTAACACTCCTGGTATATACCTTAATACTAAGGGTGAAGATAGATTTTATTTAACTTACAAACTTACTGCTCGGCGTGACGGGTACTCTCCTTCGCCTGAATCTTGGAATATATCTCTCCGCTGCCGGCTGAACCCTTCGGATATCAAAGTCTTGGTCAACACGAGTCACTGTTTGCAGCCTTAAAAAATATATATATAAATGTTACAAACTTAAATATTATATAGCTAAATAAGAATAGCATAGACCAGTGACAACAATAAGTAGTAATCTTTCTTCCTCATCCATTTGGCATACAAGCGACATCAGTGAAACATTGTAATCCTTATATACAATATAATATTGTATTATTAAGAAAGTCTATTCAACACAAACAATTTGTGAAAATTCATTCTTTACCACGACTGTTAAAGTAACAATTTACTTAATAATTGATTGGCTGGTCCCACCGTAAAAATATCCCTCTACTTCAATAATCCATAATTATCTCTACTTTAATAATCCATAATTATAAGACCTATTTGCTGGATACAGGAGAGTCTTGGATTTTATTTATTATTTTTATTTATTTAACAGTTCGCTCCCTTACTATTTTTATTTATTTAACAGTTCGCTCCCTTACTATTTTTATTTATTTAACAGTTCACTCCCTTACTAAGTGTATAGAAGTCAGCTATTTAAGATTTTACTATAAGTTTCTTTATATACAGGGTGTTTCATAATTGCAAGGCACTATTTTAGATATGTGTTTACTAACACAAAATAAACAAAAAAGTTCATCTTATACATCTCAAACTCATTTATTAAACAGATATCAAAGGTTAAAGATTTATTATTTATTATTATTACAACATTTAGAGTAACTGTTCAAAGGGGCCTCCGTTTTGTTGAATGCAACATTCAGCACGACGAATCCATGCTTCTCTGGCTCTTCGTATAGCATCAGAATGGTGCATGATAATTACCGCGGCTTCCACAATCCGATTTCTTAGCTCTTCTTGCGTGCCTAACTGCCACAGAATAAACCATAGACTTCATCCACCCCCACAAAAATAATCTAATGACATTAAATCCAGAGATCGTGGTGAACATTTAACAGATCTGTTTCAACCAAATCATCGGTCTCCATAAGTTGCGTTTAGATAATCAGTAACACTATTAGAAAAGTGAACTGGAGCACCGTCAAGCATAAACCACAGCCTTTGTCTAATGCCTAGCGGAATATCTTCTAGGTGTTCATGAAAGATTATTTTGCAAAAAATGCAAATAAGATATACCTGACAGCCTAGGTGGCAAAAAGAAGGGGCCAATGATGTTGTCGCTTAGAACACCACACCAGGCATTTAAAGAAAAGGTATGTTGGTAATGTCCAACAGCAGTCGTATGAGGGTCTTCTTCAGCCCAACTATGGGTATTTCGAAAATTAAGAATCACATTTCTTGTAAAGCAAGATTCATCAGTAACCAAAATGCAGTTCAGGAAGTTAAGATCTCGTGTGCATTGTGGAATTAACCACTGGGAGAAATTTCTGTGCTTGTTATAATCGTGTAGTAACAAATCTTGCCTACTCGATACGTGAAATGGATACAATTATTGTTCACAATATGCTGGTTGAGGAAACATCGAAACGACGTGACAATCTTCTGGTACTAGTAGTAGGAGATAACTGAACAGCATAAAGTATTTTTTCATCAACATTTGCAGTTTGTCGAAATCTTTGTCGACCGGCATTTGCGCGTATAGATTTTAGCATGCTATTATCCCTAAGACGTCTTTCAATGGCCTCAAACGTTTTACGATTTGGTATTCTTCGGTTAGGAAATTTTTCATGATATCTTCGAACAGCAGCAGCACTGTTTCTATGTACCTCGCCATAAGTTAAATGCATGTCTGTTTGTTCTGCAAAAGTGAATAAATTTATGTTGTCTCCCATGATAATCATAAATTGAACTGTGTCACAGTATTCACTCACACTAAAACACACAGAACTAGACAAACAGATGAGCAACTACTGTCATTGCTTATCGTTCATTTGTTTAACAGGTGATTAAAACCAGTTATTTAGTATTAAACACGTTAAACTTTGTACAGTCAGTCTAATGTAGTAAATAACTAATAAATCTTTAACCTTTGATATCTATTTAATTAATGAATTTGAGAAATATGTTAATGTGAAGTTCTTTGTTTATTTTGTATTAGTGAACACATACCTAAAATAGTGACGTGCAATTACGTAACACCCCGTATTATCTGATATGTTCAAGGGGTCATAGAACTATTATCCTGCACCGTAAATGTATTAGCATCGTAAATATACTGGTAATAAACAGTTTTCAACTCGTTAACATGTAATAAGCTTTACATATCCAAAAGAGATGCCTGGACCTCAGGTGATATCATGCCGCAATAACCAATTGGTTGATTTTTCAATGGAGCAAGGCTGGGTGTTTGTTTCAGGGAGTTTTCCTTGTTATTTTTCTTTAGGAGTTAGGTTTAAATTTTTGATTTATTCATCTGTAGTTCGACATTTCCATGTTTAAAACTGTAGAGAATTTTTTTTATTTACATAAAAAAATATGTTGACCCCAAATCCTGAGTGCCTATTACTGGTACAAAATAAGCTTTCAGAATTTCATAAGTTTTTCATGAAGAATCAACTAATAATCTGTGGTACTGACAGTTTTGTTTATCAAATTATTAACATCCGCCTGAAACTTCATAAATAGCTTCATCTCATCGTGACCTACAACTATTTTATTTACAGAAATTCTTGGAATTGGGACTTTTTCAATCTGGAGGGGGGCAAACTTTGTCTATTTAATTAGGCACTAAAAACTCCTAAATGCACATTTGCTTCCTGCTTGGATCGTAAGAAAATATGATAACAAAATCAAGAAAAAGGTGACTTTCAAAAATATTGAGCCGTTTGGTGTGACATACACCCCCAAATTTTCAAAATAACGAGGTTATATAGGACAAACGGCCCCAATATTTTTGAAGGGCACCTTTTTTATCGATTTTGTGATCAAATTATGTTATGATCCAAGTGGAAAGCAAATGTATATTTACGAGTTTTAAGTACCTAAATAAATAGACAAAGTTTGCCCCCCTCCAGATTGAAAAAGTCCCAATTTCAAGAGTTTTAGTAAATAAAATAGCTGTAGGTTACAATGAAATGAAGCTATTTACCAAGTTTCAGGCGGATGTTAATAATTTGATAAAAAGGGGTCTGTACCACGGACAGTAATTGAATGTATACAAAAAATAATTGGTAAAAGATTAAATTTGCTTTCAATTTAACTTATTTGCAATGATCCACCGTCAGAACTTCAGTTGTGATTCATATTAATGTTGTACAATTCTCTTGAAATGTCTATCACTGGTACATTTACCTTACCTTTTCATTAGATTTTTAGTTTGTCAAAGAATATCATAAATAGCAATGTTTTGATTTTTAAAACCTTAATATGTGATATGTATCCAATGCAACACTACAATTAAAGTGAGCCAGTGTGGTTGCAACCATTTACCCTACATTATCTCGAAAATGGTATATTTTTTTGGTTTTAAAACACAGTCTTCGTCGTAAACCAACGACTTCCTGTCCTACAGTTTCCTTTAACAATACTCCACTTATCCCTGTTGAGCAAATCCGATACCTAGGACTCCACCAGGACAAACGACTAACTTGGAATCCTCATATTAGACTGAAACGACAAGAAACCACTCGACGTTTTCGATTACTTCAGCACTTACTAGACAAACGCTCTAAACTTCCCATTAATTACAAAAGACTCATATACTTGACTATAATAAGACCTATTTGGACTTACGGAGTTGAGCTATGGGGCTCCACTAAACCATCGAATTCCTCTCGCATCCAATCCTTACAATCCAAAATCCTTTGTAAAATTCTCAATGCTCCTTACTTTGTCACTAATTAAATTATCTATAAAGATCTTAATGTTCCGTATGTTTCAGATCTGGCCCAATCCAGATACCTATCCTTCCATAATAAACTTCAGAATCATCCCAACCCTCTCGTTTCTAACCTTGCTTGCTCTTCAATTCCTGATAACCCTCCGAGGCGTCTGAAAAGAAGATGGCCCCGTGACCTCCTAATGTAGTCATATCATTAGAGTGCTACCATTGGGTAGTTACTCAGCAAGTGTATTAATGTAATTATATCTATTATGTCCAAATTTACTTGATGTATTTATGTAATACAGTTGTAAATGTCATTAAGAAATAAAAAAAAACACAGAGTCTGGTATTTTCGAAGGAACTTAATGGGTCCTGATGTCAAAATCAAAATCTTCAAATCACTATTAGTCCTGTCTCGATCTATCAAGTTACCACTGTCCTAGAATTGAAGCCTAGTGAAATGTATATAATAACTTTATTTATTTTAAAAAGAAAAACAAAAAAAAGCGGATAGTGCTATTTGCTAACCCTTCATGAAATCCTGAATCCAACAGTACACCATTCATGGCATTTGAGCATGATAGGAGCTTACATTTTGTACAAAACCTGTTTTGAGCCTTAGTGAAATAATATATGAGGGGGTTGTAACATAATAAAATAAATTAATTGAAATAAATGAGTAAAAACAAAATAAATACTAAAATATAATATGAATATCTACCTCTGCTCTTCAGAAGTAACATACAGATCATTCGGCCTGTGATAATTGTTGTGGTTGAGGTAAGCTTTTTGGTTATAAAATAGAGCATCGCAAGTATTGCATTTGAATAATTCTGCGGGCTGCATAGCTCTCTCCTCTACGGGATGCTGTCGCTCCAGATGCTTCTGCAGGTTGAATTTCACAATATATTCAAGTCCGCACAAATGGCAATAATAGACGCTTTGTGGTTCACCAGCATTGTTGTAACGAATCTTTTTGGAAGGAGGTGGTGTTTGTATTTGTTTATATAAAGTTACTACCCTAGAATTTAAAAAAAATGGATGAAACAAAAGGTCATTAATCAATTTATAGTAGTAACTTTACTTAAATTTAAATTGATCAATATATCAACATTAACATCAATATATTACTTGTTACTCCATTTCAGTTAAGTTATACTAGAAAAAAATAATGTTTACAAAAATATATGAAGTGATAAAAATTTAATTCCTATAGTTTTACAGCACAATCAATGTAATGTGGTTTAAATAAACTGCTCAAAAATTAATAGAGAATTGTTAGTTATGTATAATTTATTTTTCTAGAAATTTAGTTATTAAATACATTGATATAATTTGGCAGATAAAAATTTAAGTTTGAATCTTTGTACCTCGGGACATTTCAAATAAATAGTTCTTTTATCTAAAAAATGCTCAAAATAATAAGATTGTTGTTGATCATTGGTATCATCATTGCAAATTATAAAATTCATTAATTTGGGTAATATCTCTCTGCACCTAGTGGGCATACTATATATAATGTCCCTGATTTAACAAGGAATTTCATACCATAAACATAGCAATACTGCTCTCGATTGCTGAACGTTAAGAAGCTAAAGATGATAGTCAAAAAGCTTCTCTGCAGTATATCCCACATGTGTTCAATGGGATAAAGATCTGGAGAGGGAAAGGTCAGATGTGAAATGTTCTAAAAAAATAATCTCTGTTCCTTTCTTAGCAGTTTAGATTGATAAAGTTATGAGTTTTTTGGTTGCCTACTATCGATATATAGATTTTTAAAATGATTCCTTTAACATTCCAATAACAAAACAATTAAAAACAAAAACGGCTTGATTAACCCATCAAAAGTCTTGCCCATTCACATATCGGAATAAACAAGATCACATCACTTCAAGATATCCAAAGAAACCTCAAAATTTGTAATAATCCCAAATGAAAACATTTTACTATAGGAAAAATAATATATCTTTTAAAAATATATAAATTATTTTGACACAAATAATTTTTTTCCTAAGTTATCAATATATTCAGGATTTTCGATCTAGATTTCTTTAAATCATCAAATCCGGACTATTTATCATCCTGATAGAAACTTTTTAGAGAATTTTGAGAATAATTAGCCTAACGGAATTATTTAAAACATTCAAATTATAACTATTATTAATATTTCTAATACAAATTGAAGCCTGTATCTCGTTCTACCATTCAGCTATTATTCTTTTCTATCTTTTTTTATCGTTATCAACTGATAATAGCTCTGTTTATTAAAATATAAGAAAACTAACCTGTGGTGAGCAGATTTGTCATGGTATTCATGTGCAGCTTTGTTAAAAAATATAGCTCCACATTGGTAACAAGGATAAGGATTCTTTGGCACATGATCTGACTCGTGTTGTTCTTTCAAATGGTTATCCCGATGGCCCTAAGAAAAACAGTTATTAAAAACTAAATATAATTAGATAAGAAACTAAGCCTTTATAAAAGAATAAAACCATTACTTGTAAAGGAAATTGCATTCCACACTGAGGGCAATAATGCTTGACTGCGTCGAAAGGATGCTTTCTAAATTTATGCTGTATTGCCCTTGTATTACAGTTGAACTCTTCACCACAAACATCGCACTTGATCTTTGTATTGACTTGAGATCCGCTACCTCTGATATAAACTCCATTCTTTGTAGTCTGTTTCAATTCGCCTTCAGGTCCAAGCGTCCTTCCTTTCAAATCTATTTCTTTGTTAGCATGTTTTCTACAAAATAATGACCACAATGAAAACCACTGTTTAGTTCAAATAATTTCTGTTAATCCAAAACTTACCTAAAATGATCTTGTAAAGCTTCTTTACTGTCAAGCACTGTGTTACAAAGAACACAAGGATGGCGGCTTTCTTTGCTTTCAAAAATCTTATTCTGGCCTATATTTTTGCACTCACCTCTCAGTTTTGACATATTCCTTTGGTTGTAGTTGCTGACAACAAGAAAGACATTATCAAACACCACTGATAGGGTAAAGGTCTCTTTGAAGCGATATAACCAAAAATCTAATAGGAAAATAGACACATAAAAAACATGTAATTTTTAACACTAAACCATTCTTACCTTTCTTCAAAGACAATATAGTCTTTTAAAATTTAATAACGAATTTCTAACATTAATGTTCTCCCATCGCCATACTTGTTCTATCAGATACGGCCCAATCATTTACTAAGTCTAAACAAGGCGGCAAGTCATGGAATTTTAAACAGAATCTGAAGTAAAAGTAATTTTAAAAACATTATACTTTCTATTTAACTATATGTTAAGTGTTACTTAAGAACTAATAATGCCTTAAATATTTACGGGGAAAATTTACTGATAACATATCATTATTTGTTGAATTATATCTTTTGAAATATTACGAATTTTTACAATCAATTTGCCCCGGTCATTATATTTAAAATATATACTATATTACAGGCTCATAAAAGGAGGCAGCATTATTGTAACAATAAGTGAGACAGATCAATATAAATGTCAATTTAATTGTTATCAAACGATAGCTCCTTTGAGAAACCTTAAAATGCTACTAGATAGCAGCACTAGCCAGAAATCGGCCTTAATCATCGTTCAAACCGTTTTGTTTTTATTTAAGACGATTCAAAAACCAATTCTCAATGAATAATCAATTACATTCATTTTAATTGATGCTATGAAATATAGATGTATACAGGTATAGGCAATGTTTTAAATTGTTTGTAGAATTAATACTATTTTTTAAATAGTGGATACTGATAATGGCAAATATAATATTTAAACTTAATATAATATATGTATAATTAGAGGTAAAGATGTATCATGGAATATTATCATTAAATTTGACGGATACATCATTACCATTTTTGTTATTTTAACAAAGTATGTACACGAATATGAAACGTATTCTTTGGGGAATAACATACATTTTTTTTTCCGCTAATAATGTTAAAAACTATGTTAAGGTTGAAAACATATAAACATAAATCGAATCTTTAGTTTCAGTATGAAAAATTGGGGAAAAAATAAATTTCTTATAAGTAATCTACAATTTTCCAATTTAAATGGTCTTCTATTAACGTTCTAATTTATAATTTATTTATGCCTATGATAATTAGAGATTATAATAAACAGGTATAAACATTAAAATACTATCGATGAAAATATTTCATAAATCTTGTTTCATAAATCTAAATAGTAAATCAGGGATAAAATACTTATATACGATTTTTTAAATTATTTTTGAAATAGATATTTATTTTTATATTTATTTGGACGTATAAAGATTATTACATTATAAAGTTCGTTATATAAAAATTAATAGTTAATATTTTAAACGTTATTTGTATAACTAAAACTTTTCAAAAATAAAAATAAAGCTATATTATTAGGTATTTGAAAGTTGAAGTTATATTCTTAGCACGAAATATGTTTTGTATATTTTCTAATTTTTATTTGGAAGAGGTTGGTAGTCAGAATCTGGCGGACTGGTCTTGAGTTGAGTCGGGACAATTATTTAAGTGAATTTTCTCTGTGCTTAAATGAGTTTATAATTTCATTAGTAATCGTATTTAGCTTGAGATTCATTTTGCTTTCAAGAAAAAATCTTACAAGAATGGTTGGCGGTTAAAACAGGTAAAGATTTAATTAATAAAACGTAGTACAACGATTGTAGATCACTAATTGTTTTCTCTCTATTTTTCTCTTTCCTATAATATGATAACTAAGTTAACACAACTAAGAAATAAGTAAATCTATATCAGAAAGTTATAAAATTTTTATACTATATTTTTTTACAACATTTACAGTAGAAATTTAGAAATTAAAAACTTATTTCATATCTCATGGGATTTTATTTTGGACAAAAAGGGTATTAAAAATAAATGTTTAATCGTTTTAAATACTGTCTTAAGTGATTATACATTTAGATTTATTATATATATATATATATATATATATATATATATATATATATATATATATATATAAAATATTTTAAAGTTATGATGTAAAAAAAGGGAAAAGAAAAATCTCGCATCAAATTTGTTTAGTGATCGATAGAATCGATCATAACAAAATACTGATTTAGTTTCTTCCTATTTCTGGATGAAATAAAATAAAATATTACTTACAGTGCATCTAAGAAATCTTCTATTTCAAACTCTCTTATTTTAATAAATAGTTTTATATATAATTTTTTTTTAATTTTTATTTTTAGGTAATAATATTTGAGAGCTGTGAAGGTGTTTGCAATTGAAATGTTTAGAATAATTGAAGTAAAGACATGCAATATGTGAGGAGTCTACATTGTAAGGTATTGTCAATTAGTTTCCATACGTTGTCACTGGATGTCGCTACATGTCCCAAACTTATGTCAAAGTGCGTTTAGACAATTCACAAACTATGGGATAAACAGATATTTAAATGGTTGTTTCTTTATGCTAGTGTTTTTGTTGCTTGTTTTTTATGTTTTTATGCTTGTTATGACAAGAGGAATAAAAAAAAAAAGTTGGTCTTAGCGCTACTAATGTCGCTTTTAGTTAGGAAATAATGTTTCCCATAATTTGTGTCACAAACTTTGTGAAATGTCTAAACGTGCCTTCAAAATGAAATTATTGCGGTATGTTAAAAAGAAGGAATATTTACTTTTATAATAAATTTTCTTTTAAGATTTTCTAAACTAGAAATATAAAAATATTGAATGCAAATAGAATATAGAATTGCTTCTCTGATTTACCTGGCCGACTTTTTTTCTTAACATAGGCTTACAGTACCAGAAGAATATATGATGCTTAAGATCACAGGCGGATATTCAGGGTGGCTTTCTGGCTGAAGACCCCTCCCTTCCAAAAAATATAAACATATCTTATGAAAAAAGATAAAAACATTAACTGTAAAAGTATAATTAAAGGAAGGAGATGGTCCGGGGTTGCGGTCATAAATAGGCTAAATAGTGGTAAAACTATTTTATTGAAAGCCGACTTTGCAGGTCTTCATCAGGGAGGTGTGTTCATCTAGGAGTTTCACTTAGAACTGAGTGAAACTCCCCGTGAACCCGAGTTCTAAGTGAAACTCCTAGATGAACACACCCCCCTGATGAAGACCTGTAAAGTCGGGTCGAAACGTCGGCTTTCAATAAAATAGTTTTACCACTATTTAACCTATTTATGACCGCAACCCCGGACCATCTCCTTCCTTTATAATGCAACGGTTAACTATTAAATATTCTAAAAGTATAATTGTTCGTGTAGTTACATTTAATAGGACATCATGAACTACTTGAACACCATTTCGAATAGGTACTTAGTTTCTTTATATTTCTTCCAATGAAATTATCGTTATATATAAATAAAAACAACTTTTGGATTGAAGCACCCCTCCCCCCCTCCCCAAAAAAAATGAATACCTGGATCCGCTGGTATTTAAGATCACTAATAGAAACAAATATGGGCCAATTATTTTTCAGCCCAAATGATCATCTCCCCTCCCGTTTGAATAATGCTTGACCGTTAAGTTCATGCGCTAATTTCACAGGCGCTTATTAATTATTAAGTAAACTTTTACTTCAACATAATCATTATAAAATATTTCATCAATTGTTTGTTTTAAATAGACTTTATTGATAATATTATATTATTTGTAGGAATAAATATGTAATTTATACCCAAATAATAACATATAACAATTCGGATATTGTCGGTTGATGGTTGACTGTCGTGAATAATGAAGAAAAGAATGGTTGGGATGATCAGTCAGAAATAAAATGTTAATAATTAACAATTAACAAATAACAATTCGGATACATTGACTACTACCTACCCTGACGATACAGTCCTTTGTACCGACCCCTTTTTGTCAAAAACATCCTTTAATTGTAAGATAATATGATGACACTTCGTAAATAGTTTCATCTCATCGTAACCTACAACTATTTTATTTGCGTAAACTCTTGGAATTAGGGCGTTTTCAGTCTGGAGGAAGGTAAACTTTGTCTATTTAATAATTTGCTTTCTACTTGGATCGTAAGATAATTTGATCACAAAATCGAAATATAAAGTAGCCTGAAAAAATTTGGGCTAATTGGCCTATAAAACCTTATGATTTTGACATTTTGGGGGTGAAGGTCACGCCAAACAGTCCAATATTTTTGTAGGCCACCTTTTTTTTTCTACTTTGTGATCATATTATCTTACGATTCAATTAAAAAGAAAATGGATATTGATGAGTTTTTATTGTCTAATTAAATAGACATTTTAGTTTGCCGATCTCCTGATTGAAAACGTCCAAATTCCAAGAATTTTCGTAATAAAATATTTGTAGGTTATGACTTGAAGATATTTATGAAGTCTTAGGTGGATGTTAATGATTTGATAAAAAGTGTTCTGTACGTTACATCATAACTCCTTGACCCAAGTTCAAACTTCGCGCACTAAACTTCCAAAATCAGTTAATAAATTTACAATATTGCTACTCACTATGGAAAAAAAGACGAAATCATGATAAATCACAATATATAATATATATAGATGAGACACGTGCACCCAATTTATTCCGGCCAGAACCGAATTCCTCAGGCACAGTAAGTTACCTTGGACTGAATTCGACAGTTTGATGATCTGGGGTTCACTCGTCAAAATAAAAATAAAATCATTTTAAACAAGAGATTGAACGAAAATCATAGGCGCAGAATTCGGGGGGAGCATCATCTCCCCCTTTCCCTCCCCCCCCCCCAAGAAAATTGGAGACAATAGTATTATATTGTCACCTCACCCCTCACAATATTTCAAAAAACAAAAATAAAATAAAAATCAATAACAATTAATCTACAGGAATGAATATAATATATAAACTAAAATCAATTGAGAATATAGGAAAAATTGTCTAGAAGGTTAAGTTAACACTTAGTTGACACATTTTATCAAGTTCTACGTTCCTATTATTGAAATTTTAGGTTATGTACAAAGATAATTATATATTGAAACATAGGTAATGATTTCGATGATGACCGCAGGCTTTTAGGGTGGGGATAGAAAGCTTATGATGAATGATTATTTAGATTTAGGTTACGGTTGATGTTATGCTAGGCTTATTCTAGGATTTTATGATTCATTCATTTACACATACATTACATTTTATTTAATGATTTATGATTTGATCACATTTATCGTGTAAACTTTGAGGCATAGGAGAATTAAGAGTCATCTCACTGTCTCAAACCTTTAAATAAAAATATACAATATAATTAATTGCTTTCTTAAAATATTTTCCAACATTCAAACTCG